TCGAGAACCGAGTGGGGAGGCTGAGCCTCCCGCGACCCCCCAAAGTGGGAGGGGGCGGGAGAGGGCAGAGAAGGGCCATCTCGGACCCTCTCCGCACCCCTGGGCCCTGAGGCTCCGGGAGAAGGAGGGGTGAGGCCGTCTCTGAGAGCGGTTGAGGCTCAAGGCCCGGTGTCCCCAGCCAAGGCAGAGAGCCCCGGGGGCCGGGTGGGTCGGGGTCTGGACTGAATTGTTGTGTGTGTGAGATCTGAGCTCTGAGGCGGCTGTGTTAGCACAATAAAGAAAATGTAAAACTTGAGACTGTGGTTCCACAGAGGGGTGGGCATGGAGTCAGGGTGGTGGACCCTGCTCAGGGTTGCGTGCTGCTCCCTGTTGTCCCTCATCATTCCTGCACCATTCCTCCCACCCTCCCCTTGGATGGGGAGCAGTCAGAGCTGGAAGGGGCTGTCTAATCCTACTCTTTCACTAAACAGGTGCGGAAACTGAGAATCCTCAGGCCTGATTTTAAATCTAGAATTTCACTTTTCTCTTTTATTCCAGAAATCAGAGGAGGGGAAACAAGGAGCTGGCAGGGATGACCTCTCTGGATATTCCCTCACCATTCTCAGCGTCCTCCTTCCTCCTCTCCTATCTAACAAATCCCGACTTCATCTCTCCCAGATGTATGCCATCCTTCTCATCAACCAGGAAGGGTTTTGGAGTCATACTCTGGGGTAGAAAGACCTTCAAATTCATCTAACGCAGTCCCCCTTTTAATGGAAAGGGGGTTGACATTTATTGGGATCAAACTCTGAATGCCATGTGCTTTCTAATATTTTGTCTTATTTAATGCTTACTTTAGTCCTATGAAGTGCATTATCCCATTATATAGATGAAGAAATTGAGGCTCAGAGGAATTAGGTGTCTTACCCAAGGCCACAAAGGAAATAACTCAGGTTTTGATCCAAGTGTGTTTGACTTTAAGACGTTAGGCTGTTTCTCTGATGTTTGAATTTCTTCTACAGAATTCCTGATAAAGGATATTTCCACCTTTTCTTGAATCCCTCCAGTGGCATCTCACTATCTCCCAAAGTAGTCCGTTGACCTCTGACTGTCAGAGATGTATTTCTTCTATTGAACTCAGTTTTTGTCCCCACGTAGTTTTTATCCCTCGGTCAGAGTTTTACTCTTAAGAAGCCCTAAGCATCACATTTCCAACTCAGCTGCCTCTAGCGTACCAAGTGGTTGTACTCCATACAGGATGACTGGAACAGGTGCACAACTGCACATCTGTCAGGTCTAGAGATTGAGGGGCTTCTGAAGAGCACAGGACTTCAGGGTCACTCTGTTCTCCCTGCCTCTGCCCAGCCGCCTGCCTTTCAAGAGCCCAGGCACTTCTTTCTCTTTTTGCCTCTCTTTCTTTGAGGAGAAGCTGGGCTTCCTAATTCCTTCTGCTTCTACCCTGGGGCCAAGGGAAGTGTGGTGTATGGATGGACCTCAGAGTCGACTGAGAAAGCCCTGAAACTCTGCTTAGTTGTACTGAACTAGGAAGCCCTTCTGGCTGGCTTGTGTAATGTTTGCAAAAGGGTGATGACATCTCTGGTTCTACCTTGATAGAGCTTGGGAAGAGAAAGGAGAGATGATGGTGGGACAGATGGAGCCAGGGACAAATGTCTTGGAGTGGAGGTGGGAGGTGAGCGGTCCTTGAGGATGGATGGGGACACAGAGGGTAACAGGATTAAACAGTGAGGGGAACAGAGAACTTCAGGAACTATCCATCCCCTCACTTATTTGGAAACATTTATGAGCACCTATAGGATGCCTTGATCATAGATAGGGAGTTAGAGCTTCAGCAGCGTGCTGGGCCTGGTACACTTTTGCCCTGAGGCAGGCATTGACTAGGATGACTTGGGGAGGGCTCTCCCAGTCTGAGGAGCCTCCAGCTTTGCCTCCTTTGAGGTGATGAGGGACTGAAGCAGCCAGCTGTACAGGTTGTGTTGAATGACATCATCTTCCCCAGGAACCAGGGAGCCATGTTCAGACTTAGCCTCCCTTCGAAGGCTGAGAACAGCAAGGCTCTGGCAAGAAAAGCTCATTAAAAAGCTGTAAGAGAGATTTGAGAGAGACTCTGGAAACAACTTTCAGTAGGGTGACTCAACAGGGAAGCCAGGGAAGTTCTTAAATCCCTAAATAAATTATCACTGCACTCACCACCGCTGGGTGAGGAAGGAGAGAATTTTCTGCTCCTAAGTTTTCGCTTCAGGGACACCTGGCCTTTTTTCATTTCTCCGGCATGAAACCTTATCAGTGTTGGAGAACACTGCTGGTGGTAAATGTTTCCCAGTGGTTTTGGGAGTGGGTTGAGGGTGTAGGGAGCAGGGAAGCCCTGATGTGTGTGTAGCATGTACCATTTCCCTGATGCAAATTCTCCCGTCATGGCCGATCTCAGGCTACCAACGTGATGTCCCTGGCGTGGAGTCGGGAGAAATGTGAGAAATGCGCAGTAGCACACCATCGTGGAGTGTTTCCACCATTCCCACACTGCAAGAGTAAATAATCTCAAAAACTGAAACAATAATGAACTCTAGTAAACTCATTAGAAAGGGATGGATTTGGAGCACTAATCTCCTGTGTTTTAATCTGATTTATTTTAATGGTAAATTTACATAATTTAAGTTTTAATAATCGCTGTATTCAACCACTGGCTTGCAAATCTTAGGCAGACTTTGTCCCCAGGCAGGCGGAAGGCTGTGTCCACAAACGCTGCATCAGGAGAGGGAATCTCAAGTCTAGTCCTGATTTTTTTGTTTCCCCACAGAGGCACAGAAAGCCCCAAGTCAGTTGTCTTCACCCCACTTCCTAGTTCCACCTTTTTCGCGCGTCTCTCCCCAGTCTTGCTGAAACTGAATTCTAGTTCCTCTGGTTGATGAAAAATTATTCAGGTAAGGTATATGTCCTTGGTAACCATCAAAAACCTAACTTGGCACCCTCAGAATTTCTGTAAGTTGGTCTCTCAGGGTTGGATGACCTGGGAAATCTATTCAAGGGACAGTCTGAGTCCTTCCTGACTCAGTTCCTTCTCTGGTCCTGTCGCCCGGGTTTTAGGAAGTTATTCTCCAGTCATCTTAAGCCCCAAATTCTCAAGAGTGTGGCTATATAGAGTCCCGGAGGTTTTCCTTCTGTGCTTTCAGAGTAGCTATGCGTGCTGCCCCATTACATTTCAATTACTCTAGGCCCAGTCACTCTGTGTGACTCTGGGGAGGGATTAATTATTTTTCCTGCTTCACCAGAAACAAAGGAGTTTTGAGAATTGATTACTCAGTCGCTGCTTAGGTAGCAACCTGTCTGGAGGCAGTGAGCCAGATCCGAACTTCAGCTCTGTTCCCTCTGCTTCCCAGGGGAGCCTTGCGTGAGGCTCTAGAGTTTACACTCTCGTCCATCCAGCCCACATGGAGTAATCGTTTCATTTATTTCTAGTATATAGACACAAAATGGATTCCACTCAGTAGACTAGGGAATGGGCGTTGGGAGATGCAAAACTATGCAGATGGGGGAGCTGCTGGCTGCTTTGGGAATCTGGAAGAGCTTGGGTGTGGTCACTGTGCCTGCCAGTGGGGAGTGGACCAGATAGCCTTCTGCCACCCTTCTGTGGCCATTGCCCTCAGCAGCCTTCTTGGATGTATTTAATTTAATTTTTAAAAAATTAATGCATAGTCAATTTACAATGTTGTGTTAATTTCTGGTGTACAGCATAGTGATTCATTTATACACACATATATATTCCTTTTCATATTCTTTTTCACTATAGGCCATTACAAGATGGTGAATATAGCTCCCTGTGTTATAGAGTAGGACCTTGTTGTTTGTCTAGTTTCTATATAGTGGTCAGTATCTACAAATCCTGAGCTCCCAATTTATCCTTCCCCCCACCCCTGTAACCGTAAGTTTATTTTCTATGTCTGTGAGTCTGCCTCTGTTTTGTAAATAAGTTCATTTGTGTCCTTTTATTTTTTTAGATTCCACATAGGAGTGACATCTATGGTATTTTTCTTTCTTTTTCTGGCTAACTTCCCTTAGTATGATGATCTCCAGGTCCATCCTGGATGTATTTTAGGATGGCAGGATGGGACACTCAGTGTTAGGGAGGAGACTGAAGCCCTTGACAAAGGCAGGACATAGAGCAGAGGAGGATGGGGCAAAACGGTCAAGCTCATTTTTATAGCGGCTGACTTTGAGGTGATGGTGGACCCATGCTGGGTGTCTTGGGGAGAAAAGAAGGAAAAGAAGGAGGAAGAAGACTTGTAATAAATATCTGTGATTTAGTCATGTTCACATATGCAAAGGAGAAGTCCTCAGTTTTGGAATCAGACTGACCGGAGTTCCATGTTATTAATAAGCCTGCAAAGCCTGTTTCTTCATCTGTAAAATGGTTGTGTGAAGTGCTTATTACAGAGCCTGGTACATAGGAGGGGCTTTGCAAATGGTTGATTCCAAGCCCCTAATCCTCCACACCCAATTTCGTCTCACACAGGAGGGCAGACCTGGAGGCAGAGACCTAACCACACAGAGGAGGGGTGGAGGCTAAGGCAATAGGAGGTCCACAGGGAGGGGGATGGAGTGAGAAGAATGGAGCCTGGGGATTGAATCTGGAGATGTCTCACCATCTGGGGATGAGGCAAGGAGCCCAGGAAGTAGCAAGTAGCAAAGCAGGTGGAGAACCAGGCCTTGCCTGGGAATCCTGGAACCCACGTGCTTGTATTAATACTGACAGCAGTCCTCGTCAGTAACAGTGATACTAATGGTAACAGGAATCACCTGCAACACAGGCTTGGCTGGGTCTCAGCCAGGCCTGGGAAGAAACTGCCAGAAGTCTCAGGGTCACCTCCCTGGACCAGGGTGTGCCCTCCGTGCCCTTTCACATCTACCTGCCCCTGGGCCCAGTGCCCAATGTGGCGCCCACCGGAGCACTGACCTGACAGCCCCTCCCAGGTGTCCAGCACTTCCTGCAGGGGCCCCACACAGCTCTCCCAGCAGGGGGCACAGAGATTTTCTTCAGCACTCTTGGGAGAATCAACTCCGTCTTGGAACCAAGCACCACGCTCCCCACAGACAGCCCCTGGTCAGGCAGGCCTCCTCCCCTTTCTCCTGCCTGGATGCCACCTGCAGCCTGTGGCGCCTCCCCTCCTGGCCATGACTCACCCGAAAGTGCTCAGCCCCATGACTCCCCGAACGCTGGGATTCAGCTCTCAGCCCCAGCGCCGGCCCCTGCCCCCTCGGGCCTCAGCCAGGCTGTCCTCCTTGCTGTAACTCACTCTCTCCCTCTTGCATCATCTTTCTCAGCCTGCACTGGTCCTTCCGACAGGCGGCCTGACCATCTCCTGTGCAGTCTCTACGCCGCCCCCAGATGCCGGGAAGTGGTGTTGACTTTGTGCCCTCTGCCCTGTCTGGGCACGTCCTGCTGTTCTCTCACCTCATCAGATTAGGCTTCCACTGAGGGCAGAGCTGTGTCACCTTTTTTCTCAGCGTCTACTCCCTTCAGGAGCTCAAAATCTCTCCGTGAGCTGACCTTCCCTAAACTTAGTGTGGTGGGAAAAAATGGTGCTAAGGACGCCTCCTCCAACCTGGGGTGACAATAGCCAATGACTGTGCCTGTGATGGAAGAAGTCACACATATCCCCCCAAATCCTTCTCAAACGTGCGTATGGAAACCGCCCTCCCTGAAAGGGCCCAGGAGCTGATGGGCAGAGTCAGGTAGGACCTGGGGAAGATCCCACTGACGCTCCAGGCCTCCCTGGACCTGGGCGAGTGGACGCGCCAGGCACGGCTCTGCTGGACAGGTCAAGGTGCCCCTGTTCCTTTGACTAACGGGCTCCTTGGGAAGCGCTTTCCTGTACAGCCTGCAGGTTTCTCATCCTGTTTATTAAGGACTTGAGGAAATACCGTCTTCTGATTACCACCATTAAAAAATGGAGCAACAGGTTCTTGGCCAAGAGCCTGATCTGCCAGTGTAACATTGTTCCGTGGGGAGATCGGACTCCTTCTTTCCAATATCCATCAGCCTTTCCAGGAATGTAGCACAACAGTTGGAGAAAGTGAGGAATAAGGATGAGACTCATCTGCCACCTGACCCCCCACCTTTCTATCTATCCATCTGTCTAAAATCGATATGCCTGCAAAACCTGAATTTATGCACCCGGGCCAGGTCTCTCTCCCACATTGCACACCCCCTTATCTGCTCAGATGTGTTAATAGACATTTCAAATGCAGCATGCCCCAAACCCTACCCCCATCTTTCCCAAAGCTACTCCCTCTATCGTCTTGCCTATTGCAGTTTATGGCCACTATGTCCTTCCTTAATTCCTTTCTTTCTCTCACTATTCTCCCTGCCACATCCTGTCAGGCGGTACTGTTGGCTCTATTTTCAGAGTAGGTCCAGAATCTGACCATCCTCTCCTCTCTCACCATTACATCCTGGTCCCAGCCACCATCCTCTCTTGCCTGGGTTACAGCAGCAGTGTCTCCACTCATCTCCCTGCTTCATGCCTGTTCACCTACGCTTTATTCTCAGCAGGGAAGCCGGGGTGATATAGAATCTCCCAACCAGGGGCTTTTGGCTTTCTTAGTGAGGGGATGTCTAAAGCATGGTCCCTTATCATCCACCTGTGCGTCCTCAACCTCTGCATTAACCACTTAGTTCACAAGTGCGTTTGGCAAAGGCACTTACTGCATGTCAGTGGTAGGACCGGGGTGCTAAACCTCACCCTTCCAGGAGCTCCCAGCCTCCCTAAGACCTTTAACCCCATTCAGAAAAATTAAAGAATGATGCACATGACTGTAGATTCAGCTTCATGCTGAATTCATGCAAGGCTGGGAGAGGTGATGCTGTGAGATCCCTTGAGGGGAAGGCTTGTGGGCAGAGCAGTGCCTAGGGCTGGGCTTCGAGGCTTTGACCGGAGAGCAAGGTAGATAAAGGGGTATTTTCTAGGCTGGGAGGTTGGGGAAGAAAAAAAGGGGCAAAACGCATGAGCTTATCAGGTTGGGGGGACAGACAAGGGCTGGGCCTGTCTTGAACGGAGGGTGTGAGTGGGGTTACTAACTGCAGAGTCACTTCCATCTTAAAGCCTCCCAGGGTGGAGCTGGGGGAGACAGGAGGTGAGATGTCAGCAAGTATGCTCCCCGGTAAGGGGCCGGAGCTAGCACGGAGGGAAGTGTGTCCTCCTCCACACTCCAGGCTGAAGCTCCTTATTTCTTCCACTGAAAAATGTCCATGAAGAGACGAACTTATTTACAAAACAGGAACAGACTCACAGAGAACAAACTTATGGTTACCAAAGGGGAAAGGGGGTGGGGAGGGATAAATTAGGAGTTTGGGATTAGCAGATACAAACTACTATATATAAAATAAATAAACACCAAAGTCCTACTGTATAGCACAGGTAAGTATATTCAATACCTTGTCATAACCTATAATGAAAAAAATATGTATGTATGGCTGATCACTATGCTGTACACCAGAAACTAACACAACATTGTAAACCGTCTATAATTCAATTAAAAAAAAGTCCATGAAGACTCATCCTTCAGGCACTCCAGCCGCCTCTCCATCTGTCCCGGACTTCCCCGACCCAGGCAGGACAGGAGGACTCCTCTTTGGCGTGAGGAACTCGGCTGACTCAGTCCTCCAGGAATGAGGCCTTGCTCCGTTGGCAAGCAAGGAGGCTGTGCTGGTCCCCGAGGCAAAGAGGCAACTTGGTGATGGGACGTTTGTGTGAGCCTCAAACTGGGTAGTTGGACAGGCTCACAGGAGGCTGTGTGAGGTGGGAGGACGTTCACTGGGGTTAGTGATGGCCAGATGGCCACAGCCACACGGGGTGGGACATAGCCCATACAACATACACCATACACCATACACCACTAGTACCTCCTCTGCGGATCTTAGAACACCCACAGCCTGAGGCCCTGACTCACGCTGTCCCCTACTCTCTGCCCTCCCCTGCCCGCCCCTCCCCTAGGCACCCATTGGCCCTTCCCAAGACTAAGGGACATTCCCAGTCTGGAGCAGTGCATGGCCAGAGATATCCTCTGCTTCAGCCCTACTCCAGCTCTGCGGCTGAGAGCCCCATGCAGGCGGGCACTGGTCACCAACCCAGGAAGCCGCACCTTCCTCACCGTCCAGCAAGGCGCAGCCAGCTCTCCTTTCACCAGCCAGCCTGACCCTGAGGCAGCTCCTCCTGATGTCCTCCCCGCAAAAGGATGCCCCAGAGAGAGGCCCAGGGCCTCTGACCTGGCTGGAGGGCCCCACCTCTGCGGGACAGTCACGGTGCCCGAGTGACTGAGGTGCTGCCTGTCTCTGTCTGGCCATGACACTGTCCCTTTGCCTGGAAAGGCTTTCCTGAGACAGCATCAGGGGCTCTACCTGGACAATCTAGGTGTATTTTTCTTTCTCTTTATGCTGTACACTGGAAACTGACACACTGTAACTGAATATACTTCAGTAAAAGAAAACAAAAACAAACACAAAAAAATCCAAGTCTGATCCTATCATTTCCCTCCTTAAAACTCTTCAAGGGTCTCATTTGACATTTAAAATTAAATTTTAAATCTTGCCATGTGCTACCAGACCCTGTATGATCTGACCTTTGTTGTTTCCTCCTCCCAGAGTCCCGCTTGCTCATTACCCTCTGGCCATGGGGACCATCCTTCAAGATGTTCCTTTATGCCAAGGTCTCTCCAGAAGGGCTTTCCTGCAGGGTCAGCCTCAGCGTGGCAGGCCTCCCTACTTTGCTTTACTAATGACTGCCCCTGCTGGTCTCCGGGGGCCCCTTGGGATTGCCCTGCGCCAGCTCTATTCTGCTCCCTCATTATTCTCACTCACAATTTTCGGTTCTTTTCCTCTCTAGAGCTTAGCACAGCTTTAATTAAATATTTGTGTGTGTTTGTTTCACGTCTGTCTCTCCCAATGAGACTGCAAGCTTCCTGGGTCCAGGGTCCTGTCTGTCTGCCTCACAGCTGTATTCCTCGTATCTCTGGCGCACAGTAGCTGACTGTGAGAGATGCGCTGAGTGATGAACGCTGGAGACAGGTGGCTCAGTCCTGCCAGAAGGGGCTGTTGTCCCCAGTGTGATTCCAGAACAGTTGATTCTGGGCTGCAGTGTGAGCTGGGGGCTTGCTCTTCATCATGGTGGAGAGGGGTCTCAGGTTCAGGAGATGGATGGGAATCATGATAGGAAAAACGTCCAGGAAGAGGGGCCCCATATTCAAGCCTGCCCTTGACACTTGTAATGATAAATCAGACTAACAAATCGTTCCCTAAATCATGCCCTGTCCTCCTACTTTGACACAGATACCTTCAAAATGACCTGGAAGGCTAGATTTGGATTCAGAAATCTTGGACTCTTGGGGTTTCAGACCAGAACTTGATAGCGTAGGGAGTCTGGCCCCAGGACCGAGGCCAGACTCCTGTTCCCACCCACCACTCCATCCCACACTGTGAGGGCTCGTGCCCCCACCTGTGGACATCCCAGCTTCCTGTCTGAGCTCCACACTGAATCCCAAAGCTGCTCCTTAGCTATCTTCACAGCCAGGGGTGCACACACAGGCAATTTGGTCCATCTTGGGGAGAAAAGCCCAGGAAAGAGGCTTGTACAAGTCCCAGAATCCCCATTTGGGCAGAGAATTCCAGGATTCTGGATTTGTGGAGTGCGTCCAGAAGGGGGAGAGTGAGCTCCAGTGGATGTGCCTTGGCTCCTTGCCTGGGAGGAGAAGCCGGGGCGGGCTCTGCAGGATGGGGCCCGGGCAGCGGCCCTCTGGCTTTGGTAGGAGCGTGGTACTGCCTGTGCCTGTGGCCTCCTGGGAGTAACTGGACAGGGACTGACTGACAGACAGCCTGCTGTACTCGTCCTTTCTGGACACAGCCTCCAGAAGAATCCACACTCCGTTAACTGCTGCCTGGAGGTGGCCGAGGCTCTAGCTGGTAACTCTGGCCTCTGGTGTACGACCACCTCTCAGGGGAGCACATGAGTGAGGGCGCTGTACCCTCTCCTGACTGCTCAGGCTTCGGGGCACCAGGTAAGCCAGGAGCCTCAGCCCCACCGCTGCACTCTCTGTCTCTCTTCCTGGACTGGCCAAGCCTGCGGTCAGTCTTGCCGGAATCTGTGTCCCCTGCGCTGAGCCATTGCTGTGCATGGGGGTCTGGGCTCTGTGCTGGAGGTGGGGGTTGCCCAAAGCCCTGGTGTGTGTGGGTTGTTAGGGATTTTCTGGGAACATTAGGCTGTAAGTTTGTTATCATTGAGGGGCAGGAGGGGCCC